TTAAAATATATTTTAAAAAATTATAAAAACTAAACAGTATTTTTACAGTCTTTATTTTACAGTTAAAATAAATGTTTATCAAATTAAGTCTAATGTTACAACTAATCCTGGATTCCTTGAAAACTGAACCCAGCTCTGGGTGTAGAAACGAACCGAATCTCTTGGTGTAGAGCATCTCTCCCAGGTTGTGTGGAGCCAGAGAGTAGATGGCCAGGATGCCCTCATCAGGGAAACCCCGCTGACTGCTGGGAATGAAAACCGCCAGCAGCTGACCGTCGGCAGAGATGTCACAGCTGGCGTCGTTGTAGATTTTACAGTTTGGCACCAGAACGTTGACTGAAGCTGGAAGGAGATAAAAACACTTCCTGTCAAACCGAACGGTTCTGTTTGTTTGAAGGAAGGAGCTGACACTGATGGACACACAAACTCTAGAAAACTTTAAAACCATAAAAAGATTTCACTTTAAATTTATATCTCAAGCTAAAAACCAGAGTTGGATGAATATTTCAGCATTAATCATCGTACCATTGCTGATCTCAGGCAGGTCAAACTTGGTGAAGTCCCACCACTGCAGGCGGTACGTGGTGTTGGCGATGTTGCTGGCCACCGCAGACTGACCGTCCCCGATGGACGCGCCTGAGGACAGGAAACAGGTTTAAACAGGTTGAAACTAGTGTGTGAGATTATTAAATAAAGAGCAGAAGACCACGGCTGCTTCTGGGTTCTGTTTTACCAGCGAGCACTCTGTTGACAGAGGAGTGTGTGGCCAGACCGGGCTGCCCTCGCTCATGGAAGATCCCAGCGTAAGGCAGATACTCGGGCAGGAGGAAACGCCTGCAGGACGACAGGAAGACACATGAGATCAAAAACATACAAACAGACAGAAAAGTGGATTTTCTGAGCTCCTCACCGGGGGACGAATCGACCCAGAGAGGGGGCAGACATCCTGGCATTTCGTGGTGTCCGGTGTCTTGATCTGTCTCCATTATCACTGGAAATAATCAAACAAGACACGAGGCTTTAACATGAATTCTGACAGGAAGTTAGGAGCTTCAGCCTGCAGCTCACTGAAAAAAAAGACATTTTAACGTCTGAGAGTCTGTGAGCATCGGGCCGTGCAGAACTGTTCTGAACAGCCAGTTTGTAAAAATCCTGACTTGTTTCTGTGCTGCTGTCCCACATCATAGCCACCCCCACATATCAGATCTGAACAGGCAGATCTAAACTGGATGGAAGCTCTTTAAACAGGTAAAATACTGTTAAAGTCCAGGTTTTTGTGATGAAAAAAAGATTAATTATTTCAGAGGTTTTATTATTATTATTATTAGGGGTGCAACAATACATGTACCCGTATCGAACAGTATCAAACAGTGCTTTAGGTTCAACACACACTTGTATGGAGCAATACAGATATTTTAAATTTACTTTATCAACTTGTCTTCTGAAGATGCTCTGTGTTGAAGGATCAGTGGATCTGTGTTCGACTACTCCACCTAGGCTGCATTTTTGAGCTCAGATCCACTGAGAAACTTGCTGTTTCAGCAACATTTAATTTAAAAACTGTACTTTTGAGGTTAAACAAATGTTCATAATTAATTTAAATAAATCAAGAGTTAAAAGTGGCATGAAAATGTCTCTTTTTTGTATCGAAAAAATATCGAACCGTGAGACTAAAGTATCAAACCGAATCGTGAATTTTCTGTATCGTTGCAGCCCTAATAATAATAATAATAATAATAATAATAATAATAATAATAATAATAATAATAATAATAATAATAATAATAATAATAATAAATTAGTCTTATATAGCACTTTACGAGGATTAATCACTTCTAATGTGACCTACAATCTGTAAAAACCCAATTTAAAAAATATATCTTTTCTGGGGGAAAAGTAAAATAAAAAAGCTAAAATAAGGTAGTTGCGTAATTGATAGTTTGTTGAAGCAGCTTCAGACTTCCTTATAGCGGTGTCTTTCAGGTAAGACTCTTAATTTGAAAATATTTGGCCACTCTTCTTTGGAAAAATGCTCCAGATCAGTCGGACTGAGGGGACGGACTGGTATATGGAACTACGATTCCTTCCACCTGGACTGAGGTGAAGAAAAGCAGCTCTAAATCATGATGCTGCCACCTCCGTGCTTCACTGTGGGAGCAGAATTATGGCCATAAAGTTCAGCAGACAAGTTTTAACCTCATGTTACTTCAAATGTGTTTTAGCTACGTTTAGCTGGGCTTTGATGTTTTTTGTAAGAAAAAGGCTTCTGTAAATTAACTCTACCCCAAAGCTCCGACACATGAAACACAACAGTGATGTCACTGTTGTGTCAGATTTTCTTCACCCTGTTCCACAGTGTCAAATGCTTTAGAAAGTCTTCAGTCGCCTTCTGACAGGCAGATTTTAACAACGAGAAGCCTCTGATGTTGGATGATGTTGGATGATGTTGGATGGTGGCTGTAAGATAGAAAAGCCTACAGACCAGCTGAACTCTGAGGTTGATCAGAGGCACAGAGTTTGAAGGTGATGAGTTAACTCTCAACACTTATAAGAGGGTGTGCACATTTATGCAACCATCTTATTTGAGTTTTTTGGTTTTTATTTCCCCCTATAAAATATTTTTTATTCATTTGTACAGATTAAAGTTCATATTAAAAAGGTAGAAAAAGTTGTGAAATTATTTATTTTAGTTTCATTATTTTACATCATAAAAACCTGGACATGAATAGAGATTTGTAAACTTTTTCTATCCACTGCTCTGAGGGAAAGATTCAGCTGCTCCTCCTCCCTCCTCACCAAAACCACTCCAACATCTGATCAAACCTTAAGAAAAGCTGCGTGTAGGCAGCAGTTTGTTTTGTAAGGAAGCAGCTTTGTTACTCAGAGTTAAACAGAAAACCTGACATCTCTCCCTGAACCTCTGTGATAAGAGACGACTCACTCCAGCTCCTCGAAGTCCACGTCGCTGCTGTCCATGGAGCTGGACGGGTTGCTGGTGGGGCTGTCCGAGGAGGTGGACATGGCCCGCAGGCGGTTCTGCTGGTACCGCAGGGAGCGCTGGCGGATGCTGTCTCGCCTGGACAGATACTGGATCATCCTCTGAGCATAGTACGCAGCTGGAGAAAGTCTGCAGAGCAAAGAGGATTCAGACACAGAGAGAAGAGCTGGCTTCAGAGGAAAACACTAATGTAGCTACAGCAGGCTCCATCTGCACACAAACACATCAGACTGGAGCAGAAAACTGAAACTTTCAGCCCAGATATGACCAGAGTCTGAGCTGACGTCACAAATAAGACCCCGATTCATTTATTTAAAGCTCACATCAACCATGAAGCTCAGTCTGAAACTAACAGAATCAAGTTTATGAAACATTTAAGGTTTGATTATTAACTGCAGCAGGTTAAACTGACAGAAACACAGGTGGGTCAGGTTAGTGTACCTGGCCGGGTCGGGGTAAATGGGGTGGTCTCTGGATCCCGACATGTCGTATCGAGACAACGACAACAGAGAGGATTCCAGCAGCCGCCTGTGGAGAAACACCATTATCAACACTGGACTCAGGTGATGAAGAGCTGAAGGTGGTCCTGGAGGTCCGCAGCCCCACATGTTTTACATGTTTCCTGCTCCAACACACCTGATTCACTCACTGAACTACCTCTTCATGTTCTGCAGTATGGAGGACCATCACTGACATAATTAGAAATAAAAGCAGAAATAAATAAATGAACCTTTAAATAAATAAATACATTTAAAATGCACCAAATAAATTAAAAAGGAAAACTTTACCTCATGTTTTATCATTTAATTGACCTTCATATTTATTTTTCCAGCTTAGTTCCAATTAATATATATTTTAACACATAACTTAAAGTTTAATGTTTTTAATATATATTTTACAGTTTTTACTTTTACTTGTAAATGCATTTGTCTCTTGAATGCTTAAATTGAATTATTTTTTATAATTTTGTCCAACAAGTCTTTTTATTTCCACGTGTTTCATGCTTGTGCTGCTGCAGTTTAGCTTAAAGTTTAATTAAAAATAAATGTACAGGTGATGTTTTCTTCCTCGTCTTTGTTTTAAACTAAACTTTAAATTTTTAGCTAAACTGAGGCAGAAATAAAAAGACTTGTTGGGAAAAAAAATTAAAATATTTAAGTATAAACACTGAAGACACACAAATGTGTGAACAAGAAAAAGGAAGAACAATTAATATATATTAAAAAACAGTCAAATTTAAATTATGTTCAAATATATAGACTAATTTGTTGGAGCTAATCTGGAAAAATAAATATGAAAGTAAATTAAAAATAAAACAGGAGATAAAAGTTCTCCTTTTTAATTTAACTGGTGCATTTTAAGTGTATTTATTTAGTGGTTCACATAATTCTGATTTTATTTCTAATTCTGTCAGTGTTGGTCCTCCGTACTGCCTGATAATCATCTGCTCCTTCAGATCGGGTGTGTTGGAGCAGAGAAACAAATAGAACATGCAGGACTGCGGCCCCCCAGGACCAGGAGTGACCATGCCTAGTCTAAAGGATGAAGGTGGGTCGTACCTCCTCAGGGAGTCCTCATCTGGGGGGTCAACAGGCATTTCTTGGCTTAAGGCCTCCGGTGGATCAGCGGTTCTTCCAGCGGCGGTGTGCCGGTACACCCTCTCCCACTGCGCCGTGTCCTGGTTGTAGACCAGGCCCACCGCCTGCTCGCTGGCCTGGCTGGGGGACGGGGCTATGGGGAAGGCCACAGTTCCTGCTCCTCCCACTGGAGGGGGAGGCGGCTGCTCGCTGGACTCTGGAGTCAGCCTCCTGTCCTGGGTCTGACTCTCTAAAGTCCTCCTGATGTCCTCGGGCTGCCAGGGAGGCACAGATGGAGGGAAGGCGGCAGAGGAGGAGGAGGAGGAGGAGGGTTCAGGAGCGGAGGCAGAGGTGGAGGAGGTCTGGTTGGTGCGCTCCCAGCGCTGCGAGTCGTGGTTGAAGGTCAGCAGGTTGTGGCAGGCCCGGCACCGGTTCAGGTGGCCCCGGGAGGCTTGGGAGGGCACGTTGTTCTCCAGGCTGTGGGGGGCGGGGGGCGGAGGAGGAGGAGGAGGAGGAGGCTGGTAGTGGATGATGGTTGGGGAGGAGGTGGAGGAGGAAGAGGAGGATGGCCCAGGTCTATCAGGGTCCATGTTGTTGTTCAGCAGCTCCTGACTGGGCTCCTGCCCCCCCTCCCCCACGGCGCCCCCCAGCGTTGGGTCGATGTCGATGCGGTCGATCTCCAGGAAGTAGCGGCTCAGGTTGCACTGCAGGACGTTCCTGAAGGAGACCGAGGTGCCGCGGGAATCCCAGAACGGGTGGTGGCCGCTGCTCGTGCCGGCGGCGTCTCGGGCCCCTGCCTCCCCCTGGTGGGGGAAGCCCCGCCCCTCGGTGGCAGAGGTGTAAACAGGGGAGTGAGACGAGCCGTCCTGCTGACGGAGCACCGACAGGAGGCTGACGGAGGAAGAGGCGGAGGTCCTGGGGGGCAGCACGGCTGGACCGACCCCACCCTCCCTAATGCTCAGCACGCTGCGGATCCAGTCCGGTCCAGATCTGGGGGGGGCGTGTGGCTCCATGCTGCTGGGGAGGATGGGGTTGAGAGAAGAGCCAGCGCTGTAGTAGACAGAGGTGAAGGCCGAGGGGCGCTCCGATGGCTGCCTGGGCTCCGTACGCGCCGAGGAGAAGGTGGAGGCCGTGGAGGCTGAGGGGGGGTCGGGCTGGACCCCCGAGGAAGCAGCCAGGGAGGGGCTCCGAGCAACGGAGCAGCGGCTGCACAGGCACATCATGCCCAGGTGCTGGGTGCAACCAGGGAACGGGGGTCCGCGCTCAGGACCCGGATACTGGGCCAGAGGCATGCTGGGAGATTCCCCAATGCTGCCTCCACTCTCCCCGAGGGGCCGCTGAGGCTCCGCCCCCCCCTGAGCCCCCGGGGCGCGAGACGACAAGATGTGCAGGAAGTTATGAAGGATGGGAGTCCGACGGACCGGCTGGGAGGGCAGGAAGGAGCGCTGACGGAAGTGAGGCATCTCCACGCTGTCCATCGGAACCTCTGAGTCCTCCTCGCTCTGACGGACAGAAGAAAACAAACAATGTGCTCAGACTGGACAGGTCCAGGACAAAACATCCAGCTGACACAGGTCTACCACAGACCTGGACCATCACAGACCAGTTCATCTGTATTAATACATTTAGATTTCATCATAAATCTCTAAACTATAGAACAGAAGTCACCTGCTGGTTGGATGGATTCACTATCGCTGTGAGCAGGTTGTGACCCAGAGGGTCAAACCTCACCAACCTGCAAACAGAAAATAAACATCTTAACAAGATTCTGTTGATCTTTACTGAATATTTTAAATCAACTTCATCCAATAATCTGGGGCGGCTGTGGCGGAGTGGTTAGGGGAGTCGTCCTGGAACCAGAAGGTCACTGGTTCGATCCCCCGTCCAGCC